AGAAAGTCGACAAAGAGGTCCGAGTAATTGTTTCGGATACTCTCAAAACTTCACGTATGCTCAAAGCGCCAAGAACGATGGCACCCTTCTCTTTCAAAAAGAACACCTGCTCCAAGAATCCAAAGAATAAAATCTCGCCATCGCTAGATAAATTCGACAAAATAAGCTTTCGTCCAAAAATCGCCGATTAAAAGCATGAACCCCGTAAAATAACAAAAATCGGCTCGTAATTTAAAAAAAGATCATCTTTATTTACCCGACTTCGCTCGAAAGATTCATTTCGCAAGAGTTCCTTGACCCGATACAGTAAACGAAGAAAAATCTAAGAGGAGAAATCTGAAAAGCGAGGCGAATCGAAGGCGAACCTTTCTATAGTCGCTCAATTATTCTTATCGTCGAAACGAATCTCTTCGCGACCGACTCATTCCCGTGGCGTATCTCTTATCATCCCACCGACCTTATCTATCCTCGATTTTCTATTTCGATTTCAAACCCTGATATTATATATTGTTGGGCCAGATTGTGATTGTTTGGTTTTGGTCGCTCAAGAAATTAATTATTTGTACGAACATCGAATGTCAAAGTTTAAATGTTTAATTTCGACTGATAATAAATAATCTATCCGTTTTTTACCACTCACCATGATACTCGTTATATAAAAATTTTAGATTAATAAATAACATACTATTAAATATTAATAAAATAAAAATTGGAAAATCAATAATAATTTTAATTTTTACGAAATCAGACATCAAGTTCATGCTGATTAAATATTTAGGGTATTACCCATGTATACGATTATCTTTTTAATAACTTCCTTTTAATAATTTTCCTATACTCAAATGAAAACGGGATATTCCCAATGACAAGTTATTATCAACTTTTATTTGTCAACCATGCGCACGTAATATGTATATTATATATTCGACGATAAATATAACATACATGACATGATAACGAATATCGCAATATTTTCAAGGATTGCGTTTCAAGGATGGCGTTTATAAGGAGCTACAGTTATAAAAAATCAACAAGCTTGATAAAAAAAATTGAATTATTTGTGTTCAAAATAATATTGAATAATTTATATTAAATTTTCTTAGAAATATCAATTTGATATAAATTACTGTTATCTGTGTACATTTTTTAATTCACAAATCGATAAAATTCTGAAAAGCACGAGTGAAAACATAATTAAATATATTACGTTGAAATATACATGTCTATGACAAATTCAATTTAATAGATTAATTAAAAATACAATAAATAACAGAAGATAAATAAAGATCTGCACATACAAAATAGATGCAATTAAGTAAATGTTTTCCAAAGGTTGTTTTTCAATATTATTATGCTTTCACAATCGTTCTGTTGTTTACAGATGTATAATATAACATCTTGCATAATCAGCGACACGTGTTAGTGCGCTTTTATCTTGAAAAAACATTTAGCAAATGTAAAAATACGTAACCTTTCGCGCGGAAAATTACAAAGTTCATAAAATATTGCAAGAAATCGATATACATACAGAGCCAGAACATCCTACAACATGCATGTGTACTCATCTTATTATCGAGGCATTCATAAACGCGCATTCGCGATCGTCGGTTCGTTTCGCAAGTGATTTTAATCGTGTGCAAAATAAAATCGGCAAACATTCGAGGTCACTCGAAGCACGGAATGGAATACAGCTGACACACGCGAAAACAAACCCCCTGCGTCTCCCATATTTCGTAAAAAAGATTAATGCGATAATGCGACTAATATCTTGCATATTCGTGAAGTAACGCTATAAAATTATCGCGTTACGACCGCGAAGTATGATTGTACCTTACAGCAAAACTCTACTCGAACATTATTTGCATGATGACTGTCGGTGCAGTATCGTGTCATCCACTCGTACATACATATGTTAGCATAATGGAAAAAAACAGAATTACGCGAGCGAATCATTTAAATAGCGTGGATTTTTCGCGGAACGGAAACGCATTTTTGTCGACGTGCGCTTATCTCCCCTTATTTCCTGTTATTTCTCTTCTTAAAAGTCATCGATATCAGTATGCGCTAATTACAAGCTGGCCTTTGTCGCGTTTTCCGCCATTGCCATAACAATAGGCAACGGTTAAAAATAATTATTATAAAATTATTTTTAAATATAATATAATATCGAGTAATTTCGAGAAATCTAAAACTCTTTCAAGAGCATCAATAACAAATATTACATTTTGATACGAGGGGTATTGTTTAATTAACGCATAAATATAAAATGAATTTCCGTTTAAATAATATCGCATTGTATTATTTTCATTTTATATTCAACAGCCTATCTATTAATTTCGGTTCACGTCCTATGTAACCTGCTGATTCGAATAATTAATTCAAAATATACTCTTCGCATATGCAGCCACGTAACGAAGAGATATGTGTTTATTCTACTTCTCCGAGCTACAGAGAGGATGGCATAACCGGTTCTACCCCCAAGATAAAATCACTCAATGTCAAGAGGTTAACAAAAATCGAAATAAAATTATACAAGCGTGATTTAAAGCGGGTATTAAAGAAATCGAAAAACTTCCGTACGAAAACTTTCTGCCTCTCGATATTCTCGACTGGTTTGTCTTATCGCGAGCACGATATTTCATCCACGATATTTCGGCAGGACATCGTACGCGACTTTCCAAATTGAAGTCCATCGATTGGACTTGGTCGAAGAAGAACCGATGTGGAAACCGAAGATAGCGAGTACGATTCTCTATCGCGAGTTATTTAGGCAGAAAGGAGATTGTCGCGGAGATTACAATTTCCGTCTTCGACAGCGGAATCTACATCACGGCCTTCACGGTCACTGAGACAGAGGTGCGCGTCACCATGGCTTACGTCAGCGTATACAATTGCGTTCCTCTAGAGGAAAGCCAATTATAACCAAGAGTGTTATCTTGTCTAATAAGCGATTATAACTCCGTAATGGCGTATTGTCTACGGAAAGTGCAAGTTTCTGAACAATATTGTTCCGACTACGAATCCAATAAAAATTTTACAACAGGTTTTATGGATCTAATATGTTGTAATTTTTCATTCTAAAAATATATTCTTTAAAAACTCGAAATTTAATATAAAAATTTTATGTCACATATTTATAGATTTTATTTTTGAAATTTATATTTTTTTTTAAAGTTATTAGAAAATAAATGAAGCACATATGTTCTGTCATATGTTTTTTGCGCATTTTGTATTGTTTTTTGAGTGATAAAACGATCAAGCTTGTTTTACAATGTAGATGTAATCAATATCTAACAATATCGAATCGCTTTTCTACGCGATATTTTCCTACAAATTACAATCCAGGAATTACCATACAACGAATCAAGATAACATGAAGCCTTCTGATGATATAGCGTGTTTGTAATAAAAAAAACATGATGAAACAGCATGAGTGAGCAGCAGGAAATGTTTTCATTGTGATTGCAAAAGATAAAAAAAATGTGACAGCGATGTATTCAATGTCCATTTCGAAATCAATCGCACTTTCTCGATTTGAATGTGATTAAAAATTTAAATGCCATTAAAAATTCTCAAAAAATTATTATTATTTCTCGATAAAAAAAAATCGAAATTAATGGATTCGATTGTCCCAAAAGTGACGGGAGACTCATTGTCAATCGCATTCATTTGAAATGAGAATCGTGTCGGTGAACGGAACCGAATGAGATAATAGAGTTCTGTTAAAATTTCAATTTAGAGTTTTATCAGGTTTATGCTATTTAACTCAACGCGCGCAGAATACGCAGATAAATCTCATACGAGATTGGTCGAAAATGTATTGAGTTCAACTTTCTGTCAATTTCGATTTCAAATGTTATCGCTCAATACGAAAATTTTCTTTGAGTGCTGTATGTTATTAAAGCAGAGATGCAGATGAATTTACATATATATATATGTATGTATCCTCCTTTCGATTTATAAATAAAAATATTAATATGTATAAAATATGATATAAAATTGTATAAAAATAATTTCTGGCAAAGATTTGACGTTTCTCCATCAAATATCGTTTTTAAAAATGAAATTAATATCGATAAATAAATTTAATGAAAACGTTTTCGTGCCAATCATTAATTACATATTTTAACTGTTTTAACTGTTCTACAGCATTTCTTCTTTAAATATTAATTTCCACATTCAGTTGATGAGAAAATATCAATTTTTGGGTAATGTCTACACTTTTTTTAACTCTCGAATGATTAAAGTAGAATTTATTAATTAAAATATAAAACCGTTTTTCTCACAATATCAAATTATTTTACCTTCTACGGAGAATTGAATTCTCTAATTCAAATTTGCATTCAAATTCACTGTAAGTGATAAGACCAAGTAAATAAATCTCGCGATTCTACTTCAATGTTGTATATTAATCGAGTCACCAGAAACTAAATGGCGTAGATCATTTACTTGATTATTGCCTAGAAGAACGTGCCATTAAATCGCCTGTCTCATCTCGAGAGCATTGTATAATTCACCTTCTCGGTATGACATCAGCCTTGTTTATTCCACGATCGCGTGATTCTGACTTTCAACGAATCGATTAATAAACTTAGTATCATTTTATTTTAATTGTAGTGTATTAATTTAATTTACAAATTTTAATTTATTCGATGCAAAAAGAGGACCATTATAAATAGATCGAATTATATTTCGAGATCGAATATTAAATTGAAATATATTTAAACAAATTCTTACTTTAACAATCATCAATTTTCGCCAATAATCCGATCTCGTGATCTTTTCATCACGATCGATAAATTAAACGATACCACTCGAGATCATTTAAGGCAATTGTTGAATCGACAGGCACAGAAGATCTCAGACAAGGATGACGCATGCAAAACGAGTTTTTTTTTTGTTTCGCAACCGTACACTTAGACGCGTACGGTTGCGAAAACTTATAAAAAAGAGATGAACCCAGAATCCTGTCAGCGGGACTCTGGATTCGCGACACTGACCTTGCCCAAGTAGCGAAAGCCGCAGTCCTCGGCGACCCGCCTGGCCACCTCTTCTCCACCGTCGACGTGTGCGGCCCACTGGTTGGTATACGCGCGTGCTGGACCGCCGAGAGTCAACAGGGCCACGACCGCCAGTCCGAGAATCCGCCGCGTGCACATGATAGCACCTCCGCTACACCGACGATCGCCACCGGCTGCTCCAGTTTCGCCGCCCCCGCGGGCCGCCGCGATCATCCAGCACTATGTGTATATATATATATCCACCGCCAACACCACCGCCACCGTCGCCACCGCTTCCACCGCTTCCCGAGGTAGCAGCGACACAACGGTAACACCGTGCCACCACAAATAACACTACAACCGTCACGACGCACCACGGTTGCCCTGGAACGAAAGTAGGGAGGAATTTACAGCCCCTGGAGACCAACGTGCGTTCCCTCTTCTATTTCCCTCCCGCTCTCGGATCCCGCCCTCGGATCCTATCTCAATCTCCGTGGAATCCCCGCGACCCGGGAAGACGCGACCACGCACACACGCGCGCGCGCACACACACACACACTCGCGTACGTCTCGCACTTGCGGACCGACCGCCGGCGACTGACTGAATCGCCGGCAGTGCGTGTCACCCGTTTTAAGAGCCGTTGCGTTGGGAGCCGTTGACTCCTAGTCGCGCTATCGTCCACGTCGACGTCGTTGTGACGTCGTCGTCGTCGTTGTCGTCACCGCCACCGCCGCCGCCGCCTTCGATCAACGGGCAGGAGCAGCAGCGGGAGGAGAAGAGGGCGATCGTCAAGTCATGTGGCCGCGGCGGGGAGAAGAGCGACGAGACGATGATAACGTCGCGAAGATGACCACGAACGGAGATATCCGCCGTCGTGCGCGGTCACTGCGGCGACGATCACGTACGATCTTCCCGATTATCGGATATCCACGCCACGTGGACATCCAACGTGGCCTTGTTTAGCGCCGACCGCACGTTGAAATTCATACGCGGCCGCTTCAAGGAGAACCGCAGGGATCTATCATCGCCTTACTTCGCATCAAGGTGTTTCGTTGTCACTCGCTCGGTCCAAGCCAGCTGATCCCAGGCTGCTCCTCCTGATTTTTCCTCTCGATAAGATCGCGTATCGATTTTCGTCCGATGACTTTCATAATCCCATACGTCCGAGAGACGCTTTCATCTTCCGCTCTCCGCAATTTGGGACGAGCATCTGGATCCTCGATCGTCTCCTCGATCGTCTCCTCAATCGTCTCCTCGATCGTCTCCCTTCTCGAGTATTCACGGAATGAAAAAAGCGCGCGCCTCGCTGATGCGAATTTTTCGCCGACACGTTTCAATGATTCGCCGACTCCTCCTGTCGTCGTTTCGCTCTTCTCGCGTCTATCATGCCTTCAAAATTCCTTCTCCCGTGTCTTTTTCCCCGGATGTCAGTAAGACGTTTGGTCGAATGATTCTTTTCCCGCGCATCTCAATCACTCGTCCTTCGTTCATTTCTTGTCAAGTTCAAGACTCGTCGTTGCAAAAATACCTTCATCTTCTCTCGCGCATCCTCTCTAATTTTAACATTAACGAGTCGATACTCGGTGAGATCTTTTTTCGAGCAATTTTTTTCTCTTTATCTCTCAATTATTTCGAAAAAAAAAGACAAGATTCTCACCTTTATTTCTTTTTTAGCGTTTTTTTGTCGCCCTTTTCACTTGAATCCGACAATGTTCGGCCAGAATCAAGTGAATGGCCAGCCGCTCGAAAGAGGTCACGGCGCGTAGCTGACCGAGAGGTCGATCACATCATCGAGCACCGCATCGCTCCCTTGGGCGCACCGCAGGAGACGAACGATGAGGTATCCCGCCAAGGTCTTGACTAAGATATCTTCTTGGTTTAGAATCGTTCTCGAGCTGCAAAGGATGTCGACGAAAATTGATTAGTTAAAAGTTTCCGGCAAAACTTTTCCAGCGATTTTTTTTTATATTTCACACGACGAAATTGAGAAGTAACGGAAGATTAGAATCTTTAAAATATCCAAGAAGAGTGTCCGACGATAATCATGATAATTAATTTCGCCAAGTAAGTTCTGATACACTATATATATAGTATGCATGTTCGCCAAAAGTCTGAGTTGGTCAGTTTTTGATTTATGAATTTTTATATTAATTCTAACTGTCAAACAACTTTTAAAACTATGATCGATCGAGGGAAAAAATTAGTTTCAAGACACAAAGTTTGCAGTTTAAAAATCTGACACGTGTATGTGGATCCACAATTTTTACATGACAATGAAAAATATATAGGAAAATTATAGCTTATGTATCTTCCCGTGTTTCATAATATTCATTCTCCGTTCTTAACGATACGTTACATTAGCACTTTATCGTCACATTATCATTACATTAAAGGAACATTTGGCCTAATTAGCATTTTCATGCAACAAAAATTGGCGAGGACAAGTCCATCAATTTACGATTATTACTACATCATAATAACTTCGCTCTATTCATGATCGAAATTGCCATAAATAACGCGATCCGATTTTCTATTCTAAATTAGAGTTAATTTCTCAACACAACATCTCAACAATATTAAGTTAACAAGAATAATATCCGGAAATCAGTCTGCATCGTTATTATATTCTTGATAAAGTTAATTATTAATGTTTATCATCTAATTAATCCGTATTCAACTATTCGTATAAAGTTCTTATGTAACTTTCGTTACGCTCCATAATTCCTGCACCCAATTATGAATATCGATTTAATCGGATATATTCAGATTTTTTCAACATACAAAAACTGTTATTCGAAGTAGAGATTATTTTCTGCAATTATATTATATCGTCGGTCATCGCGTTTATAAAATAAAATTATTCTGTATTATTATGCAACGCATTAATAACATTATCAATATTATTATCTTTGATTGTTAGCAGATATGCGAATATTAATAATTTTTGTATATAAATATGCAAGTGTTACAAAATTTATTATTTAATATATAATATGTTTTTTTCTTTGTACCAAGATAAAAATTCATTTCTTTTGCTTCTGTTCACATCTCGTAGTTTTTGTTATTACAAATTATTTCATACTTTGTTGAGAAATGTTTGATAGAGAAGCGTCGAAAATAAATGAAATTTATCCTTGATATCTAAAATTTACTGTAATATTAACATTTTTGCGATAAATCTCCAATAGTAAAATGAATAATATTCGCGGATCCGCATTATCGTCACGTTCAAAGGACTTTCCGGGCGAGTCAGTTTCCGGAAAAAGGACTGACATTAGTCGATCCAGTCGGTCGGTCGCGTAACGCAGGAATATCCAGCTTGTGCCCCGAGGAAATTGCATTCGCGAGTTGGTCTTCCACCAACCTCATTTCCTCTTTCCCCTTCGTCCTTCCATGGCAGTCACCCGCGTGATAAAGAGAATAGAAAAGGGTTGCTAGAGAAGTGAATTAAATTTAAGCCAACTCGCGTCCTATCCAACTATCCCCCTCTTTGCTCCCTCTCTCTCCCTTCTCGTTCCTGATACCATCCTTTCTCTCACAATCCTCTCGCACTTTGTGTCGGGCTTCTCTTTGTCATTTCATCCTCTTCATAGCCAAGCCGGTGTGACCGACCGACCAGTCGAGACGACAGCAATGGTTCTCTTTTTAATTTCGAGATAAAAGAGGGCAAAACTGCCATTCGAGAAAAGCTGGACGGAGGAGACAACGGAGGTCAATCAAATCAGTTATAAGTCTCGTTGGAAAGAAAGAATATCATCTCCGACAAAAACGGATTCGATCTCTTGACTTAGTGCGGCCAAATGGACGAGAGGCTACCGGACCTTTCGTCAAGTGCATAATAATCACCCTCACGCTGGAAAATGATATCCACGAACTTATCTTAAATACCGCAAGGCACTTAAATTCTACCTGACTTGACTGCCGACTCGGTCTCGAAGATAATGACTCACGGTGCTTTTATTTCAGCGAAGCAATCAGGAAATCAATAAGGACGAATGGATGAGGACTCTACTCTTTAATGATACTCTTACTTTCAAGTTTACTCATTAAATATTTAAGTTTAAAAATTTAATTTCGATCAAATTTTTTTTGCCGACAAATGTTAATACAAAGTTCATAAATTCATAGAAATTAATGAATATCTTTTAATTGAGATACTATTCAATTTTTGTATTAATTATATATCTCTGCCAATTTTTAATTAAAAATTTATTTGTCAAATTTAATTGTAAAATCAATTTGTCGATCATATAAAAATATTATTTAAAATCTGTTAAACCATTTATATAACTAATTGTAAAAATAAATTACTAATTTTATAATTTATTATTACGTACATATGTTGAAAACTGTCATTTTATATTTGCATACAATCATACATATATAATATCATAATATCATAATATCATAATATCATAATAGCATAATATCATTTATATAAATTTAGTGAATTTTATTTATCCCTGCAATTTTTGATTTGCATTTAATATTTTAATTATACGCATACATTTAATTATGATAGAATGTTATAATAGAATCGATAGATTGGATAGATCTGAATAATTAATTATGTGAAACAATAGAAAGTAATATACGATTCGAAAACTAAACAATTGGTTTCAGAGAAAAACGGGAGCAATACGGCTTATGGATTTTTCCCCAGCTCAGAGTTATAAATATGTATTTATTTGGAAGAGCTACATATGTATATTTTGCGCTTTTAACACTTTGTTGTCTCACTTTGTTAATTTCGATTGGATTTACCATACTGAAAATTCAACTGCGCGAGTTACAATCCAATTTATATCGCATATTATATAAAATGACAAATAACAGAAAATAATTATCGCGATAATTCTCACAATTTTTTAGCAGAAATAAAATATTTAAAATTCACTTCTTTAGATTATTTCAAAATTCAATACTATTAATTTTTCTACTAATTATTATACTTTTTATGTGAATTGCAATACCATTATTTTATATTCTATACTCGACGTGATAGTAATGAATATATGTTACAAATTGTTATGATATTAATAAAAATAAAACGAAAATCGATAGATGCATGTTAAAAATAATATCGACAAATGGGATACACGAAAAATAATATATTGATTATACGGATTATATGAACAATAACAAAGATATGCGATCGTGCAACGAGGAATTTGTATGTATATTTTTAGAAAATGTTTGTGATAGGACAAATATATCTATAATATTATATACACAAATGTATCTATTTTTCAGTATACATATTCACTACGCTTTATTAACGAGAAATCATCGAATGAATCCGCCTTTGTCGTATGAAGAGGTAGTCTGGCATATCTCGTTACAGATTTTAGTTCTCGAAACGACAAGGTGATATCATTGACACGCATCTCAATATTACACGTAGCAGTTCTGTATCGTAAAGTGAAACGGCTGTTCTATTGCAAACGATATTATTCCCAAGGTGTAACTTTGCACATTACAATAAAGTATCTCGATTATAAAAATACAACATCGGCAAAAGTTAACTATCTGGTGTAAATTCTTCGTACAACAAAACTGCACAAATATTTAAAAAATAGTTACTTTATTAATAATTATATAATTTCTAATTATATAATTTTATATCATTTCTCCCTGATACTATATAAGTGTATCAGAACTTGGGCGTTTTGTAAAAGATGTCTGGATAAATTTAGCTATTTTTTCGTTTTTCTTGAAACTGATCAAAAACAAAATTTATTGTTACATTCATTATCCGTAAAATCTGACGAAAAAAATAAATCTCGCCGAGGTGAAACAATTCTGTTGAAAGGGAGCGATGCCAAGGCCGTTCTTGTAACAGGAAGCGACTGGGGTCAGAGACTGCGATACGTTTGTATGAGAGTGTAGTGTTCAGTAACGAAAAGTGCAAGCCGAGAGTAAGCAAAAACCGGCTGATTCGATTTCCTCGTTAAGATAGGAAGCCGAATTTACGGGATGTTTCGCGATGTCCGCGTAAAACTACAGAAACTGTAGAAATTTTTCCTTGAACAAACTTTCACGTAAAAAAATTTAAATCGAAAAGCAATTTTAAAACTAATTTTAATCGAATTGAATTTTTCCAATTAAACTTTAATTTACGATAGAGAAATTTTTTCTCTCGATAATTTCAAATGACCTTTATTTCGACGAAAATTTAAATTACAATTTAACTATAATTTAACTATAAGATATTTTATACTTATTTAAAGCATTTATGCTCTGGAAAAGAATCTTCAAATTTATCTGATTGATTTGTTTGATTTAAATAAAATTAAAATATCCAGTTTGATAAAATATCCAGTATTATTAGTGCGATGTCTAGGGACGTGGATAATCGCGAGGAAGAGTCGCGATCTGCGAGGGCGTGATTGGAAACGTTCAGCCTCGGTAAATGCAATCGAACAAAATTACTTCCTCGATCGTGTATGCCGCGAATCTCGAAAAATACACATGCGACCGCAATAAAGAGATTGACATGCGCCAGCGTTTTGCAGGCAAATTTATTTTCCGTTGTTCTATATCGGGCATTCGGTAAACATCGCGTTGCAAATTAACATCGCTCCATGAAACTCGGGAACGGTTGCACCTCAAGAGAAACGGATATTTTTTTTTGTTCGATGAACAAAAAAATTGTTATGATATTAATTGGAACGATTGAACGTCAGTCCTCGTGAAATATGAGATTTAGGCTGTTACACTATTGTGCAGCGCGTTCATACAAGTACAGGGAAAAATAAAAATTAATAAGCCTGAGGAAAAAATTGAATTTAAAAAAAAATATTTGCAAAATAAAAATATGAAAGCAAAGCGTTGTGAAATGTTCACATGTGTGAGAATATCGATATCATTGAAAACATCGATATTGCAATTGTACGGTTTAATTATTTTTTTAAAATTTGCTTTCTTCTCCTTTCATTAATATATTTATTATTCTTACTATTCGTATATTGCTTTCCATAGCTCGTAATAAAGAATATTGCAGTTTACAATATATTAATATTGACAAAGGACGTAATAAAATATACTATGTACATAAAGTATTTGTAATTTCTTTATTTCTGCTTTTCTACTTTGGTACTTCTTGCTTCTGTTATTTGTAATATCGCTTATTACGAAATTTTTTTCAAAAAGTTCTTAAATATCTCTCATTATTATATTCATTATTATATTTTAAATTTATGATAACTGCATTGAAAGATATAAAATTAAAATAAAAAATATAATTTTGAAAATAATATTAAAAATATGGAAAGATACATTAAAAAAAATGCTTTTTATCTCTTTTCATTAAAAATATACATTCCATTTTATTTTGTTATCTATTATTCTATTTAAAAATCACGAGCAATTTTAAGTATTACAAAAAATTTGAAACAGGTTATAAAAAATATTATAAAAAATGAATTATGTCCTTTGTCAATATTAATATATTGTAAACTGCAATATTCTTTATTACGAGCTATTGGAAAATAATATACGAACAGTAAGAATAATAAACAGTAACGTATCTTTAAAATTATATAAGCTTACACACATATAGCGCAAACAAGAGAGGAACATGTATCAATAGAGATCAAGTTTAGAAAAGCTAAGCGAAGGATCACATACGTACACATACATGCGGAACAATATATGTATATTCGCACGAAATAGACGCCTTATCTTTCGTGCGATGATCGACGCACGTGACGCGTGTCTCGTGATTCCGAAGCATCACGTGACGCGGTACGAGACGAGCGCGAGCGACGTAAACAATCCTTATATGAATCGATTCCCACGCGAGCATTTGACCTTCGCATTCCAAAACGGCAGGTTACAATACACGTACATATACACACGTAAAAGCACTTTCTTTCTCGGAGAAATAATTCTCATTTCCTCCACACGTGTACCTGGCTGGAATCGTGATCGGGAACCTTTCGCGATCGTCGCAAAATCAACGTCACGGCCACCGAGAGAGGTCTAACGGTATCGCGCGAAGTTGGCAATGGAAGAATCACGTGACTCTCGGCCGATCGACGCGACGAAATTCACTCGCCCGCAAGTTATAACAAACAAATATTTACTCACCGTCTTTGCACGCTCTCTCTCTCTCTCTCGTCTCGAGAAGTCGTCGCCTGTCGAAGGTTCTCGCTGCGATTGATGTCTCCTTGGGAAGGAACGTGGAAGAGAAGAGAGGATGTGCAGCGGAAAGGGAAGGTACGCGCGACCGCTACACCCAGGTACCTAAAGACCTAAACTCGCGGCCGAAAGTTCGCGCGAATGCCGCGGTTCGTCACGTTTACGTTTCGTCTCGTTCCCACGTCGCGTCTGACGGATCACCCACTGCATGTAGATCGTAGGACGACGATCGTCGTCGTTGCGTGTCGCGCGCGAATAACTACACCGAGCGAACGTCCGGCCGCAATGCCACCTCCACAACGGAGCACGGATGACTGAACGGTAGACGGTCGGTTGCTTCGACTCCGACTGCTCCGCGCCGCTTCCCCCACTCCTCCGCTCCTCGTGCCCTCTCTCTCGCTCGCTCGCGCGCGCTTCTTCCCCTCTCTCGCTTCGCTCCCCCACCACCGAGCATTTCGCGCCGACAACTCGAACCGTGGTCCATCCCCACCATCCACTATCACGATAGTTCGAAACACCCCCGCTGTATCTTTCCCCGTCTCTGACGTTATGCAGCTTTGGTCTCTGTCAATCTCTCTCCTTCTCTCTCCTTCTCTCTCTTTCCCTCGGGTTTCCTCCGAACCCACTCGATCTCTCTTTCGATCTTCTCTGATCCCTCTTCGGTCTACCACGGTTTCCATCTCTTTCTCTCTGTTCCCCTCGATTCTTTGGATCTCTCTTTTCAACGTACCGCGTACAGTCTTTCTCTCTCTCTTTCTCTCTCGTTCGTCAGGTAAAAGCACGAGCGAGAAAGCGAATGAGAGAATGAGCGAGTAAACGCGACGGATGCCAGTGTCGGAATAACGGCAAGATCAGACCCACGGTTCTGATTTTCTTCGCACGTTGGCTTCCATCGTAGATTTGATCTCTTGCATTCTGTTTCTTTTTTTCTCTTTTGTAGCGCACAACTGTCTTTTAATTCTTTCCGTTTTTTTTATCGCACGCAAGGTATTCCCGATGTTTTAATTTTTTCGGAGGTTGCCTTTTTCTCTTCCAAAATGACTTCGGAGCTGCGGAAAATATAGTTCTGCTGACCGATTGACGCAAAAATACGAATGAAGATATGTAGGTCAACTCTGGTAAATGGCGAGTTTTAATATCGAGATATATGCGACCGAACGTTTTTATTCAATATATTTCCGTTTTTATTTTCCATCGCGTCGATATCTTTTATCGAAAAGCGCGATTTCTTTATTGGAATAATTATTCCGTTGTAATGTCACGCAGATTCTTCATCAGAATGCAAATAAAGATATATCTGACAGTTTACGTTGCAAAATATATTTGAGAGTGCAGTTAAATTTAACCATCTATCAAATATCTAAATTGATATCGTCAAATCTTGAAATATGTCATTTAATATCTATTTTTTTTTTTAATAATAATTATTACTATAGAAATATTTTAATGTTATATAATCTGTGAAAAAACACACACATATACACAATATGTATTTATACATATATTATCTTAAAATTTAATAGCAGTTTAATTGTCTTAATTCGATGAATTTTAAAAATCAATATTTACAATTAGTTATATTATTAAAAATATATATTCAGATGCAAAATCATATATTCTGAGAGATTGACAATCAAAATTTACATTTTTTAAGAAATAATAATTTATCACAATTCGCACGTGTAAATCCGTACTTAATATAATTAACTATTAATCTCTTTGTTATTTATTACTTGCGATATTAATTTCATGGATTATTGAATAAGGAAACGTATGCAAGAGTTGGAAACTTTCGTGGTGAATTTTGGAACAGGGTCAAAGTTGGCGTTACTATTATTAACCCACTAAATTAATGCCAACTAATTCAATGACGAAAACATTTACTCAACACCTAGAAGTGAGATTATGCAAATATCGGACATTATGTTTTGTACGATGTGCTAGCTTCATCGTTTTTAGCCAAAGTCTACTTCTAATGAGTAACTTAAACGTGGTGATGTGAATAACACAAAGATTAAGCATGTCACATTCAGTTAAAAAAATGATTATTATTTTGAATACCTAAATGATTTCTCAATATTTGACAATATTAAAATTCAGAGAATAAAATTTATCATATTTGAAATTGCTATTTCTTTTTAATTCATTATTCATCATTCAATGCACAAATTTATCAAAAAATCTTAAATAATATTTAAACTTTCTATTTAAAATCTTCTCTTCTTTTATTTCTCTGATTCTATTTAAACTTTTCTTTTTTTCACACAAGATCTTCAATAGCATTTGGACATTCTTGTGAGTTGTGACAAAAACTTCTTTACTTCTCCTTTTCTTTAGCTTCTTTTCCAAGTATATAAACACTCGCATATATTAGTCTGTCCCTTCAACCTAGAACGAAACTGTTTAATCATTGTCACAGAACATTATTTTACGTTTATGTTCACGAAGAAAAGCTCATCGAATTTGAAATACGAACAAGGGCACCAACAGACTCTTGATCGGCCCTGAATTGCGGTACGAACATATCCCTTCCACGTCTCATTTTGCTCTCTTCCTTCTTCTTCCGCTCGTTCCTTCTCTACATATGCGCATGTATATACAGGGTGGTCCAGAGCGACCATGTAATTTTCTTGAAAATAATCATTGACAATAGAAAGAAATGATAGAGGAAAAAGTTTAACGACGTAATTTCCTCTTTATCTCATTAATCATCTAACAAACCATCTCTTCCTTTCTCTTCTTCTCCCCGCAATTTTCCAGTCACATGTCTAGTATGCTTTCCTTTTCTGTATTTTCGTGACCCTGATCCATCTCGTTCTCCTTCTCTACAAAGGTAATCGTGCGACAAGGAGGAATGCTAAACACAAAGCGTACATTCCGATGGAGAGGATGAGAAGTTACACCCTTCTCTTTTCCTTCCTTCTTCAAAGCTGTCGGTAGACTTTCCTTTTAGATTTGTATACATATACTCTTGCTATGGATGCATCTCGCATATCATCATGTATAGTTTAAGCGACGCGAATAAGAAAAAGTATTTTTATGTCTTTGCTCACCGAATTTGTAATAACATAAAAATCTTCTTCTGATACAAATATACATATTGCATTTATAATTATTTATTCTGTAATAAAAAACTTATTTAGCTAAAAAATATAATTCATACAAGTTACAAATAAATTTTATTTAAATATTTTAATTTTATATATTTTATATATACCCTATTAAATTTCGAATAGATTTGCGTTATTTATAATGTCGAAAAAAAACATGATTACTATGTATTACTATGTATTACTTGTATTTTTATATAAGTATATAAAATAAAATGTCATTTTAAATCATGCAAATTTTAAATTATATAAATTATTATTAGGATTATGAGTAGAAAATTGAGTCTCACTATGTGTGTATTTACGTTAAGTCCATATTTCCGCCAATAAGAAAACCTTCATTCCTCAAAATCACTTGTGTATGTTCGTGTGTGTATGTGTAGTGAGGGAAGCTTCGAAAACAAATCTATCAAATGCTTGAACAGAACAATTTTCCTAGTGTACGACCTAGATCTTATCCCTTTCAAGATTCTATTCTCTTTTCGACGTTTATTTCTGTTCGATCGAAAATCCAGATTCTTCTTTCTCTTTATCATTTTTTCACGTCTAACTATATGGTTCCTTTTGGGGTCATCTTCGATCGGATAGCTCAGCCTTTAAATTCGTTTCACAACGCTACTGACAAAAGGGCCGTCACGTAGAGGAAGACCCCTATTAGCGTCGTTATCGGCGAATACATGGATATCCAATAGATCGGATATTATATGGATCTTCGTTAAATGGATCCTTTTCCAGGCATGCATCCTGCGCTCCGCAAATCAAACAATACTGATTCTCCGACATATTTCAGCTCTTTATCATCTTGTTACCGTATAGGAATGTGTAGAAGATACTTTTTTCTCCATTATTATATTCCTTGGGCTCCTGAGAAAAAATTTGATAGTAATTATAAACTTGATAAGAATGTCAAATATTGAAAAAAAAATTTAACTTTGATATTAAACAACTAATTCTTATTAAAGCATATTGCATAAGTTATAGTGTCAATTTCATTAATTTTTTATTCAAAATAACGCAGATATTTAAATACAATATTTCAAGTCAAATGTGATATATATATATATATATATATATATATATATATACACAAAATACGTAATGCCATTTACATTCTTTATGATATCCTTAAATTAAATTACCAAAATTACCAAATTGTCATTTGACAATCAATAGACGAAGGAATTTACGTACAAAATGATAATGGACGTTTACATTTCGCCAAAGGCACATGAACCTTCAATATTTGTAGCGATTCGAATAAATAATTTATATCTAAAGTGCGAAATCTTGTACGTGCTGTATTTTTTAAAATTCCATGGCTGATTTAATTATTGTTCTTGAGTGACGTTCTTTATGAATAAAATAATATGCGAGATACGTAATATTTTCTATACAAATTTAAACACTATTATACCATCATTGTGCTATCGATTACACCTATACTTAACAATTATCTTGAATAAATCGATCAAATCGTTGCGAGTGAAATAATTCGTACGAACAACGCATTTATTTTATCGATAGGAGATCCGTATGCTAGTTCTGCCCTAATCAATTAGATATTTCATTCGATCTCTTTCTTTTCTATTCTTTCTTTAAACCTTGATGCTGAGAAAATGTATAATGAATTGCGTGTAAAATAAGGGAAAGGAAAGCGTCCGCACTCGCTAAACGTGCTCCAATTACATCCGATAGAAATCTCGATTAATTCGATATTTCTCGTCGTTATTGTAAATGCAGCTGTGTTTCGTAATTACAATTCGATCTCTTCTTTTATCCGATGCTCAAGTTTGCAGGCATTTCATTGCAGTCAAAATATTGCGAGAGCTTTTATAATTTGTTGCAATAATAAACTCTCTTTAGCTTTCTTAAATTACAATTTTTTAGATTGCTCTTATATGTTTGAGTTATCGTATCATATAATGGAAATGTTTATATCTTCTTATTGTTAAAATCATAATACTTGAACGATGAAAACAACGTAGACATTGCAGACAGAGAATTTTTAACATTTTTAATGAAAACGTCATTTCAAGATGTATAAGAAACAATGCTGAAACTTTTACTACTACTTATATAAACTCTTTTTAAGTGAATCTTATTCTCTCTTATTTTTCTAACGTCATTTTTTTTGCAAGAAGTATATACTATATGAAGCTTTATGTTACAATTTCGTCGATCATGTGCACATGTAATTGATTGATATA